TTTATCAGCTCTAAATTTTTTCCAGCTATCAACAAGTTCATTATTAATATCACTTTTAGCTTTATTAATGTCGCTATGAAGATTATTTTTATCTGCATTAGATCCAGCTAAAACGCTTCGAAGTTCAGGATTCATCAAGTATTCAGCAGCTTCACCGCGACGAGTATGTTTACCAAAACTTAATCGAGGTAAATCCACCTTTTGATCTTTAAGATCTTTGAAAAGATTAGCAATTGTATTGCGACTAATCTCATTCATGGATCGTCCGTTGCACATTGTTACCAAGACCAACATTAATATGGTGAAACATATAGTACTGATTTTACTATGCATTGTAATTGTATACGTTGTAAGAAGAATATTTATCGATACGTGTAGTAATGTTAACTGAGTAGATGACTGATATTTTGTCACTGATTTTAACCGATTATATATACCATCTGGAGAGAGAGCAAAGAGAGAGGCGAGAAAAATCGTTTTTTATCTGGATATGGTTGAATGTATATATTCGGTTCGAATAATAAATCGTTGAAGAGCGACGTATTGTTCTTTTTCACAGTAAGAGATAAAGAAGATTTTATTGTCTATTTCGTTATTAATCGATACGTATAATATCACCATTGATTGAACGATCGTTTTCATGCTTTAATGCGCAAATAAAAGCTATGATTGACTTTGATTATTTGAGTGAGCGATTACGTTTTATTCTCAATACAAATGCGAAGACAAAAGAAAAGACAAGTTGTATAACAATACGTATATGCACACGTCCATAATTTTTCTGTTAACGACAATGCTTGTAAAAATAATACGATGAGCACAAAGATATTGGTATAATTTTCTTTTTGTTTAGCGTAATAGACGGACGATATAGATAAAGTGTATAATCAGCAGTTTATCTACAACATATATCGATTCGATAGATAGGATCATATGTTTAAAACAAATCAACGCGTGATAAGTATAAAAGCTACTCAACCGTGACTGAATTTCAAAGTTTACAAAGAAGATACATATCACAGTGTACACAGATACAAAAGTCGAACTAATCAAAACATCGATTCGTCCAATATGCTATTTATTATTAATAGTAGAAGATTAATATATCAAGTGACGACAGGAACAAAAGTCAAAAAACATCATGTGTACATACAAAGAAAGTATATAATACAGCAATGACCTTTTTTCTTTTTAATTTTCATTGTTATTTAATCGATGTTGTTGAGAAAAGGAGTGAATATCATACAGTTGAAATTGAAATCTAGGAAAAAACTACAAGAAAATTTTTCCATTATATACGAATAAAGTTTTTAAAATGATGTAATGTAATTTACCTGCATATATTAGACCAATAAATACACGAAACATTCGAAATTATATATTTAATCGTAATAACTCATTTTTATAAATAAAAAGATGTTTTTCTTTGAATCGGTTGCATTTTTTAGGTGAAGTAATTCTTAATTGTTTATCGTTTATAAAACACAAGGAGAGAACAATGTTTTCACTATATTTGTTGTGTCCATTAATAACTAAGAGTTTGATTTACTTTGTCAACAAATTAAACTTATAAAAAACAATAGTTATTCTTTTATCCATTGTAATCAATGAAGTCATATAATTGCGTATTGAAGAGAAAAACGAAATAGTGGTATTTCACTGGATGAAAAACTATATATTTGAGTGACGATATACAATCTACACATTGTTTTTTTTGTTTCACCTCTTGTATTTACAGGCGACTCATAACAGCAACATATGAGTTAATTAAAGAATTAAATAACATTTTTCGAAAACAGTATTTTTGCGAAATTCTTATCTACAATACATCATTTCTCAATGAAAACAACAACATCGCTTTTATTATCATCTATTCAATAAATCAAATGCACGTATCCTCTCGTGTTCTCACATATTCATCTAAGTTTAGTAGAAATCTGTTATTAGTTTGTTAAAATTTTTAATTTGAATCTTATTTGACTGTCGGGAGTATTTTGTTTTGATGAAAAATATTCTTTATAAAACACGATTGAAAGAGTTCCAAGTTGTATCCTTTCAGAGAATATTATATTATATATTAAAAAAATTTTTTTTTGTTTAAAAATAAATTTTAATAATAGATAAAAAGACAAAACAACATCTATTAATTAATATTAGTTGTTTCCGGTGCAATTTGATTATTAACTATTGGTAATGGTCTACCAAAATGATTATAAATTCGAGAAAGTACATAGATTAATTGTTGACGAAATCTTTTTGATACAATTATATAGATATAAAATGGAAACTAAATATAAAATCATAAATATAATATAAACTAATAAAATAAACTAAAACTTACGGAAAAAAATGTATAATAAATAGCTGCAGTTAAAGAATCTGCAAATTGTAATTGAGCATTACCTATTGGATTATTTTGAACATTAATAAAAGTTTCAGTTATCATTACAATTGTATATGGAACAATAGCAATAAATATATAAACATCTTGTACAAGTACCATACGTGTTAATTGTTTATCTAATTCACGTCGAATAATTGGGACTTGTCTGTAAGATAATTGTTGAACATTCCTATATGATAATGATCCAAATAAAACACTAATAAAAACTGGTAAAGCTCCTGCTATAACTGTAAAATAAACATAAGTTCGATATTTTTGATAAATATTATTTGTTATAGTGCAAATTGTTTTATTTGTAGTAAGTGAAATGGTATGATTATAATAAATAGTTGATGGAGTTCCATGAATAATTGCACAAATAAATGCTATTATACAAAGATAACAAGCTAATTTAATACTATTCCATTGTTGATATCGACGATTATAAGATGTTGATAAATATTGATCAATTGTTGCAAAACACATACATGAAAATGATATTATAGTAAATCCTTGAATGAAAAACCAACGAAATTTACAATAAAATAATGAATTTATTGTCTAATCAATATAATATCCACTAATCATTGTACGTGATAGTTGACCACTAAATAATTGACCTATGTTAACAAACGACATTATTAACAAATAAAATGCACAAGAATTTTCTCGAAATGTACGAAGACTAAGAAATATAATTATATTAAGAATTCCGCCAATAATACCAATAATTATTAAAAATGTGCCTAAATAAATTATTACTTGTTGAGAAACATTTGATAATATTGAGATTAACGATGATGATGATGACATCTTGATAAAAGAAAAAAAAAAGAAAGAATATGATGAATTTATATTCTTTTATAATTAAAGAAAAAAAAAGATCTTTACGCTAGAACGATTAATAAAATAATCCTATAGCATAGTTTTAAGCTTTCATAAAGAAATTATCGGATTTAATTATATATCATATTTTTACTTTGCTTTTAACGCTCAGGCTATTTTTTTTTATTGAATAAGGACTAATTATTTCTAATCTTGTTGTTCATCTATCCAGTCTCACTTATTTGTTTTAAAAGGCTGTATATCCTTTAGATTTTATTAAAAAATTTTATCGTACAATTCTTGCGTTTTGATTTTTTGTTGTATTTTCACTGTTATTAACAGTGGAGGAGCCAGGATTATGGCCTAGAAAGGCCCATATTATTTGTTCTCTCAATATACACTTTTGGATTAATAAACAGAGACGTAGGTCAAAAAGACGAGTAGATTTGCCACCGAAGGCAGAAAAAAAATTCCAATTATCACAGATATAGCTGTTATACTTCAGAATAGCGTCATTTTGATCTTTTGTTTTCTGTGTGCGTGTGTTTGAGAACTATTGAATTTATACTGGTTACTTATCCAGCTAATTTAAACGTAAAACATGAAATATTGTCTATCGAAAGTATATGAAAAATACAAGATATTAACGATAAAGGCGATCTTTGTTGAAAGTTAACAAATTTTTTATGGATTCGTTTTGTTCTCAATTTTCTTTTCTACTATATAATATTATTTTCTAGAAGTTTCAAGAGGGTACTTGTATACTTCTTCGTACTTTTTGTACAAAAATACGCTTGCATTCTCCTACGTAGAACATGTAAACAATCAGGGCGTAGCTAACGTGTTCTTTATTCTCGCTTATAAATGCAATACACATCACAGAAAGAAGAAAAAAAAACGTGCCGAGAAGAAAAAAGACGAAAATATATACCTTTTTAAACAAAATTAGTACAGTAGAAGCATAAAAACGAACAAGAAGAATATACAACTGCATTTATAACTAAGAGTGTTACTTTATATTAATAGTTATTTGGAATAAAAAGTAAGTAGTAATAAAATGTTTATTGTATAAATAGATAATGAATATAAAAAAAGGTTTTGCATATATTTTATCTGTTAAAACTAAATAAATAGTATTTTTTTCAAAAACATTTTCAAACTTAGTCACCTTTATAGCCAATCACCTTCGCAAACTCTAGATTACACTTACATTTATGTTGAACAAGAACAGTAAGAAAGAGAAAACAAATAAGTGGATGCTTTGAGACGTAAAGTGCATATTCTAATTTATTAAGAAACACGTTTTTTCGGAACAAACACTGTATTTGTATATTTATCTAGTTAAAAAACATGGAAAAATCTTTCTTTATTCTTTGTTATAAGCTCATTTTTCAAAAATAAAAAAATATATTTATTATTATTTTATAAACTAAGAGCTTTATTAATAAATGATTATTGCAGCTAAATCATCAGTCAACCTTGGCTATCATGGGATCTCAACATATATTAATTAACGGAGCCGGTCCAGCAGGCTTATCTTTAGCAATTGCACTCGCCAAACGCAGTATCCGATCGACTGTCTTTGAGATTCGGTCGACACCAACAACAATGGGTGGCGCAATTAACCTGGCGCCGAATGCACTACGTGTGCTCGATCAGACGATCGGCATTTATGATCAGATTCGTCATTTGGGATTCGAGTACGAATACATAGAATTCTATTCGGATGATGGTTGGAGACTTGGTGGTGTAGCGAATGGTGATCGACAAGCATATGGATATCCTGCTTTACGAATTTATCGAGCAGCCATTTTGGAAGCGTTGTTAAAATGTATTAATGACTATTCCACTCTGATTACCATACGTTGGGGTAGTTCGATCAACAAGATTGCAGAGTCTGATACAGGTGTTGAGGTTACATTACACGATGGAAGTACAATAAACGGAGACATTCTCGTAGGAGCTGATGGAATCCACTCAAAAACACGAGAGTATGTGTTAGGTGATCGGGCACCTACACCAATATACGGCGGTCAGTATGGTATTGGTGGCTGTGTTGAACGGAATGAAATTGACTGGCAAAACTTCACACTTCCAGCGTTGCTGTTTTCCCATCGTGGAGCCGTGCTTTTATTTCCCTTTACACCAGATGGAAATAATATTGGATGGGCAATTCAGAGTACTGTGCCTGAAAAAACTCGAGAAGGTTGGATAGAATATTTAAATTCGGGAGTGGCACTGGAAGACGTACGCAAACAATATGCCGACGCAGGACAAGTAAGTCTTTTAATGATCTGACTATTTTCATTAGTTTCGGAAACTTCTTAGCCCGTTCAAGACATTCTTGCCAAAACCAAGCTGGAAACAATGCGTGGATGGCCACCCTACAAGATTCCAGACCTTCCAACGTGGCACACTAA